CTCTTTTTCTTTCCATAAACACACGGTTCACAGAATTCAGATTCAACTTTCTTTAGGTCTGGAAGCTTTCCTTTGGCGACAAGCATTTTCATCCCCTTTTCACTCATATGGCCGAGTCGTTGATGCCACAACTTGGAGAGACTCAGCCCATTAGTTACTGCGTTTGCATCTCCTGCAGTTGTCTCAGCCATGTACAAAGTACCCTGTTTCTTTCCCTTAGCAATTACCATACTTCCCTTGACAACCTTCCACTGTCCAGCCCCGAAGTGAACATTATACCCCTGGTCGTCCAATTGCCCAATGGAAATCAACATCTTTCTCAATTTGGGAATTACCCTGACATCTTTCAATGTCCAAATTGTTCCCAAGTTGGTTTTTAAGTCAATATCTCCCACCCCAGTAATATCCAGCGTTTGATTATTAGCAAGACTTACAGTTCCAAAGTTGCCTTGTCTGAGATTCTTCATCTTTCTCGAACTGGAGATAGCATGAAACGACGCACCTGAGTCCTGTTGGGTTTGTGGAGGCTTGGGCTTAACTTGTAGGCCCGGCCCATGTTTTGTAACCCTAGGTTTTTCTCCTATATATATTCGCCATTGTACTTGTAATTCCGGGAGACACGACAAGTGAAATAAGAAAATCCTCCTGTTGCAGCCGTGGATTAGGGAAACCGAACCACGTTAAATTCTTGTGTGTCGTCCGTGTTCCGTTTCTCTCGTTTCTCGCAGATTATTTGTGTGTGTTGTGTTTAATTCCCAACAAGTGGTATCGGAGACTAGTTTATTCAACACGAGCGCAAATTGTGAGAAAATTTGTCCCCGAGGGTTTGCAGATCTGGATCGTTGGATTGCGCTGAGAAAGTGGAGCCGCTGCGAATCTCCTCTGTGAAGGAGAGTAGCGCCGCCTGTTCGAGAAGGGGGAGAGCTGTGCAGGTGTTCGCCATCGTCTGCGAGCCGCCGCAGTGCCCCTTCGTAGCGCCGCCGTCGTCATCGAGTGCAGATCCAGACCGCCGCCGTCCAGATCGTGTTGCCGTCGCCGCGAGGAAGATCGCTGACGTCGCCGCTGCGTGTTTCCGCTGTTTGCGGACAGACCTCCGCACCGAGATCTGAGACTGTAGACGCCGTGAGCCACGTCGAGCAGCTCCTAGATTGCAAGCCCGCCACTGTTCCTATGCCGCCGTCCATTGCCGCCGCGCAGACGCTCCAGGACCGCCGATCCAAGGAGCTGAAATTTTGGGGGGCAGGAGAGAAGAAAGAAAAAACAGCGAAGAAAGAAAAAACAGTGGGCCAATTTGTCTTTTAATTGGTCAGCCATTTACTTACTGTTTTTGGTCTTGTTTTGGTTTGGGCTTGGTGGTTTGGTTTGGGCTAAATTAATTAAAGTGGTGGACCTGATTTTCTGACGAAATTACCAAGATCTGAAATTAGTTGTACCGGGTATCTCGTCTAGTCGTTTGAGATGACAGAAGACGGGAAGTTCCGAATTGAGAAGTTCGATGGTACAGATTTCAGTTGGTGGAGGATGCGAATTGAAGATTTGCTGGTTCAGAAAGATTTAGACGTGGTATTGGGTGACAAGCCAGAAAAGATGTCGGATGCAGATTGGGCAGGTTTGGATCGGAAAGCTATGTCTGTGATCCGTCTCTCGTTGACCAAGAATGTTGCGTTCAACATTCTGAAGGAGAAGACAGCGAAGGGAATTATGGAAGCGTTGTCTAACATGTACGAGAAGCCATCTGCAGCTAACAAAGTTTTTCTGATCAGAGAGCTGGTGAACACAAAAATGAAAGAAGGCACTTCTGTTACCGAGCATATCAATAAGCTGAATTCGATCTTAACCAGACTTGCGTCAGTGGGCATTAAGTTCGATGATGAAGTTCAAGCTTTGCTACTGCTATCGTCTTTGCCTGATAGTTGGTCCGGAACGGTTACAGCGGTTACCGGTTCAGTGGGACCTGATGGATTCACCTTTGATCAGATTCGAGATCTCGTTCTTGGCGAGGATGTCAGAAGAAAGAGTTCAGGGGAGTCATCGGGTGAATTGCTTCATGTTGGTAGAGGCAGAAGAAATAGCAGAGGTAGTGGGAGCGGGAACAGACGAAGGAGTCAGACAATGACTCGGGATAGCTCAGGTGTAACGTGCTGGAAGTGCAAGGAGGTGGGGCATTTTAGGAATCAATGCCCGAATGATAAGAAAGTGAACATTGCTGAAGGCTCCGCGAGTGATGAAGAGGTCCTTCTTACTTGTTGTGCGGAGAGCAGTGTAGATTCTTGGGTCATGGATTCTGGTGCTTCATATCATGCTACCCACAGCGGTGAAGCATTGCAGAATCTGGTTATTAGAGACTTTGGAAAGGTACGACTAGCAGACGACAGAGCTCTTGAGGTGACGGGCATGGGTGACATAGTGTTGATGACCTCAGTCGGTTTCTGGACTTTGAAGGATGTCAGAGTGGTTCCAGGCTTGAAGAAAAGTTTGATTTCTGTCAGGCAGTTGGACGAACAGGGACATGAGGTGAAGTTCAGAGATGGGCAGTGGAAGGTCGTGAAGGGAAATCTTGTCATGGCCCTTGGAAAGAAGAGAGGTCCGCTGGAGTTACCATCTGAGGGAGTGACCGTCCCAGTTCAGAAGAGAAACAAAGTCCGGTTCACAGAGTCTCGTGGGCAGAATAAGGTTGTCAATGCAAGAGAAGAGAGAAACCTAGAGCCACAGGTCAGACTCAGGATGAACGAGCGAGGAAAGGTTCAAGGAGGCCAGTCAGAGGTATTTGTGGCAGTGGGAGCTCAAGAGGCGCTTCAGCCAAGTTGCCTCGAAGACAGTGGGTCAGGAGAACCAGTATTCCAGCTGTTGGAACATCTCCAGAAAATTTCTTGCTGAGTACGGAGATTGTTTGTTCTCAGGATGTTCCAGGATCCGGCAGTGTGCGTCTGGAGTGGGAGCCGGTAGGAACCGAGGACGAGTCAGGGGCAGATTTTGCCGTGACTGATGTGTTGGAGCTTGGGAGAGCGTCAACGGGTCTTTCAGTTGTCTGTTGAGAAGGCCGCTGTAGCAGGAGAGCCGAAGAAGATTACTCGATGTACAGGCAATCGTGGTGGATGGCAATTGATGACTATCAAGCCTCCAAGTGGGAGAATGTTGGGTTTGTGGAGGCTTGGGCTTAACTTGTAGGCCCGGCCCATGTTTTGTAACCCTAGGTTTTTCTCCTATATATATTCGCCATTGTACTTGTAATTCCGGGAGACACGACAAGTGAAATAAGAAAATCCTCCTGTTGCAGCCGTGGATTAGGGAAACCGAACCACGTTAAATTCTTGTGTGTCGTCCGTGTTCCGTTTCTCTCGTTTCTCGCAGATTATTTGTGTGTGTTGTGTGTTTATTTCCCAACAAGTCCATAATCCAGGACTCGACTGTGTCCTCTACACAGCAGATTAATACATCGTCAGAATCTGAGGTTGTGGCAGCATTCACCTCTTTCTTGTCGCTAGGTGGTTTGGTGCACTGATTTTTGAAGTGTCCGTACTCATCACAATTCCAACACTTGATGTCACTTCTTGTCTTTGAACTCCCTCTCTTGCCTTTGGACTTAGATCTTCCCTCCTCTCTTTCTTTCTACCTCTTCCCTCAGTGCTCAGCAGAGAACTTGATGGTTCACCTGTATTCTTTCTCCTGATGTCTTCTCCTAAGATAAAATCACGAATTCCCTCAAACGTGAGTGTGGTGTTTCCAGCTGAACCACTAATAGCCGTGACTGATCCTGACCAACTATCCGGTAAAGAAGATAAAAGAAGCAAAGCTTGTACCTCATCATCAAATTTGATATCTACTGACAGCAACCGGGATATAATGGTATTGAAAACATTGATATGAGTAGTAACAGAACCACCTTCCCGCATACGAGTGTTAACTAACTGTCTAATCAAGAATACCTTATTAGACGCGGAAGGTTTCTCATACATGTTTGACAACGTTGTCATAACCCCACGAGCAGTGGTCTCTTTCACGATGTTGAAAGCCACACTCTTTGTCAAAGTGCACCTGATGACGGCTAGGGCTTTTCTATCCAAGTCAGCCCATTCTTCATCCTTCATCTTCTCGGGTTTCTGACCTGTCAAACATGGAAGAAGATCTTTCTGACATAGCAAGTCCTCGACTTGCATCTTCCACCATCCAAAATCTTGCCCATCAAACTTCTCTATCCTGATCTTTCCGTCCTCAGACATCATCTCTTCTGAGTATCC